AAAAGGGAATGGACTTTGTGATGGGCAGTGGAGAGAATGGTTACTAATGGACCAAGAAAAAAATAACACACAATGGCAATTTTATACCTGTGCTCTGTAATGTTTTCTATGTGATGTGGTCTTTCCTAAATGTAAAACTCTTGTATTTTTCTGTGGGTTTATATGCAGCAGGACTGACAGCTTTGAGGGTGCACGCTGAATTTTGTAAAATATTCTTGACAAGTTTTTTCCTCTTTCCAAAGGAGACAAGTTGGATTTTCAAAAAAAGAAAAAGAAAAAAATGTTAATGTTTCTCCATTTGGCTTATTAACTGCATGTACAGTATTTGGGCAGGAAGTAAATTAAAGCCAGTTTTGAAAACTGTTTTGTTTGGAAATTGTGCACAGCTTTTAACAAGGTCTCTCTCTCTCTCACACACACACACATACACACACAAATGGGGTTTTGTTGGTGATAAATTTGAACTTGATTTTGACAGGAGAGATAATTTCCATTCTTGTGAATAAATTTAAGCAGGGATGTGTGTACTTCATGTTAAAAAGTTAGTAATTACACACCCAACAGAAAACCTCATTTCCAGAAACTGCCTGTGCTTTGCATATTTGCTTCTAATGCATGAATTCAGCCATTTTTCTGGTATCTACAGCATCTGGAAACATGGTCTATGACCTTGCTAGAGGCCACAAACATGAGAAACTTGCTTTCATTCTTAAATAACAGTTTCTCAGGAAGTTGCATTTTGCACCTGATAAACACACCCTGTGCTTTTAATTTTTGGTGTTCCAATCAATTCAAGTCAGCCCCAATTTAAAGTAACAGTAATGATTTTAGCTTAAGAAAGAACATATTTGTCCTCAGAAGGGTTCCTGATTAACCTCCCTGTGTGAAGCTAAGGACACCAGAGTGAACAGTAGATGGACCAAGAAGACTTCTTCCCATCAGCTTAGGTGGACCTGAACGCTACCAACTTGGACAGGATGAATTTCAGAAAGGCTGGTAAGTGATTGAAAACAGATCTGTGTCATTTTTCAAGGGCTGGCGAGTTGCTGGACATGAAAAGAAAATGTGCTGAAGGACATTAGCATTCCGCCTTTTACTTGTGAGCAGACATTTGGGGAAAAGCAGTGAGAGAGAGATCCTGGCCTTCTGACAACATCTGATAGTCAAGTCAGTCAGCCCTGTATCTTTTGACCACTTCCAGTGCAGGATAGAATATTCAAGCCAAAGCTGCCGCCACAGGATCAGTGGTTTGCTCCTACAATTCCCCTCTGTCAATAATGTGCCTAAGCCCCTTTAAAACCATTTAATCCAGTGGCTACCACTGCAACTTGTGGCCATGGATTCTGTAATGTGCTGCATGAAGGTCTTTAGTTTTCCATGTTGCATGTGCTGCCAAGCAGTTTCGAATTCTGAGTCTCCATTTATGCTCAGTAAAACACACTGGCATCCTGAGCACCTGTCAGGCACATCCAGGCAAAAAAGAGCACCATGGAAACCATGCAGGGGTGCTCGGTGTGACATGTGAACCCAGCCTTTGTCAGCCGGTACCACCAATGCTGAGCTTCATGGACCACTGGTCTGAGTTGGAGCAAAGTAGCTAAAAGAATTAAATTTTATTTGCAACTCCTTTCCACAGAATTTGCCATGCTCAATTGGTAATTTTAATGAACTATCCACAACCCCTTTCCAGCTTTTTCCTGGGTAAGAACAGGCAATCCAGGTCTTAGGAGCACATGTTCAGTCCTCCTCGAACCCCAAGCACGCATCCCTTTCCCTAACTTAAATGAAAAAAGTGGGCCTTCATTACCTAGTCAGCCAGCCCAATCCTAATTAACTTACAAATACAGTGGTACCTCGGCTCACAAACAGCTCAGTTCACAACCAAATAGGGTCATGAACAAAAATTTCATAAACATTTTGACTCAGGTTGCAAACTCTGCATTGGGTGGCAACTGCCTTTGTGTTCGGGGATGCGGGGGTGGGGAAATGGCTGAGATCGCACCTGTCTTTCCTGCATGAGCACAACCACAATCTCGGCCATCTCCCCCCCGGCACGCCCGTGATCACACCCGTTTCTCCCCCTCAGCACGCCCGCAATCATGCCCGCCTATGGCCTCAATTGCAATCACACTCATGCAGGGATGACGGGCATGATCACGGTCATGTGGGGCAGTGGGGGGGGGGGGGGGGGTGCTGGTGCTGGGGGGGGGGGGGGGGGAGATGGCTGTGATCTTTGTTGTTGTCACTTTGCTTTACATATTTCTGCTTAAAAAAAAATAGTTACAGAATGGATTAACCTCATTTACATTGAACCTTATGGGGAACTATGACTTGGCTCACGACCAATTTGGGGCACGACCAGAGTCCTGGAACGGATTCAGTTTGTGAGCCAAGGAACCAGTATCTCCAGAATGAATTGGAAAAAAATACCAGTCAACCCCATTCACCCAGCTGGGACTTAAGAACTTTTCACAATCTGATTTTTTAAAAATCACTCTAAATGCTTTGGTGCCAAGTCTGGCAGGTTTGCTGATTATCCCAAACTTAAATCCATTTGGTTTGTCAGCACCAGTCCCGATACAAATCCTTGGAGGAATTCACAACTTTCTTTTGTGATAAACATTCCCTGCTTGCTGCTTCTTCCTCATTACCAATTATTGCTCCATTAAAGGCAGAAGCCTACAAGTGTTTAGACCAAAAAGTCCCTACAGTCACCAGCAAGCTGCAGCTGGCTAGAGTATGTTGGAACTACAAACCCTTTTGTCTAAACATGCATTGGTTTACACCCTATAGGACCCAATCTCTTATCCCGTAACTGCTAGATTTAATTTGAGGTTCAGTATGGGACTTTGGCAAAAGCATTTCAGAAGCCCAAGAACTGAATGTTTGTCAGTTCACTCACCTGCATCGTTGCAGGCAATTGTGAAAGAACTGAATGCTTGGTGCTTTAGGATTCCCTTTGCGGAAGGCATGTTGACTCGGCCTTCACTTTAATAATTTAATAATAATTGCTCTCCACTTTAATACTTCTGTTTTCTATTGTTACCTCTGAGACGTTTCAGTCTAACAGGGCGGTGATTTCCTTAGAGCTCTTTTTGCATTATTCTGCAGAGGAGGGAGAATTTAAAGACATAGACCATTTATTTTTGTTTGACTATCAACATCATATTTGAGCTCTTTAAAAACTTGGGTGTATGGCATCTAATGCAGTGACTTACATTTTTAACTTGAAGTTTTAGGCAAGGAGGGGCATATATCCTTTTGTAAAGAGGCCACATAGGTAATCCTCTATTTGAAGGGCTGCCCTAATTCTAGCTTCAAGATAACCTGGAGGACCTGTTGCCCACGAAGTCAAAATTTAGACACCAATTTGAAGAGGCACTCATGCAGAGACCAAAGTGTGCACGGCTGTTACAGCCCACCAAGCCTTCTGTGGTCCATGCAGGTGCCTATTTTGACTAATCAACCCTGGTGGAAGGTTGCTAGAGATAGTTGTGTTATCCAAACCTGGGCAGCATGATGAGAGGGTTAAAACACCCCTCACAGAGCCTATGGCCTGAGTTTAGATGACACAACCAGCCATGGCAACTGTCCACTTGGGGTTAGATACACAAAATCAGCTCTTACACATGCCACAATCCACTGTGGCTTAAATAAGCTACAGCACTTTTGTGAACTGCAGAGTATCCAGTCAAGTTTTCAGCACTACCTATATTTGACTCATCTTGCAATCATACGAAGGCAATCTAAACATCTGATGGCAAAGGAATGGCGATGTTCACTCTCCTAGGAGTTGTGAAGACAGGGCGGAAGTGAGAAGTGACATTCTCTTGATTTCTAAATGGCCTCTTTTCCTCCCACTGCAAATAATGGAAGGGACAGACTATGCTGCAAGGCTGCCAGAAACATTTCTGCCCATGTTTGTGGGCACCTTTTGGACCAGGGCAGGCTTGGGATCCTGCAGATCCAGTCTCCCCGATCCACCCAAACCATACCCCCAGTCCTCTCTGCCTCCCAGCACTGCTGTCCGAGTTCCAGTGCCGGGAGGGAAGGGATGTGGAAGTTTCTGCATGGCTGTGGAGGCATCTGGGGTCCAGTGGATCTCCTCCTCCGCGGAAGGACCCTGAACCCTCCACGCCAGGTGTTGTGCTCTCTCCTTCCACCTCCACACTCCATTAGCTTCAAACCTGCCCAGCAAGCTGCAGGCTGCTTCCATCACAGTTCTGAGTATCTCTTTTGATAGATGCAGCCTTTTCCAAAAGGTTTCTACTGTCGATCAAATGAAATATCTTCCTCCTAAAAGAAATTCTCGTGGTGATTCCTGCATGTCTGACTCCATACAGGGAACTACCAGATTTTCTGAAAAGGGTACCTTTGAAGTCCCAGACTTCAACATCTTAAGATGTGACCTGACCAGCTTTCCCAGACTTTAAAGTTCTTCTCCAATGATGGTGCTACCAGCATTTTATCATGACACTCCTTTCTTCTCCCCTGCTCTTCAGCTGATGCCTCCCTTGTGTGAAGGCCACATGTCATGTGCTATTCAGCATCTCATTATCAGGACTTCCCACCTCACCCCTGCAGGTGTGTCAGTTGCCAGTTCAGCACTGAGAAATCTGTTGTACCTATCAGTTTCCCTCTGCCTTCCTGTGTGGGACCCTCGTTCCGCATACAGAGAGGCTGGCAGCCAAGAGGCGTGGGACAAGGGTCTGCACACCTCTGCAGATCTCAACCACATCTTGTCTCTGCCTCTTAAGTTCAGCCAACATGGCCTCAAAGGACCAGGTCTGTTCTGTAAGATCCAGGTGCTTACAGTAAGTACCAAGCACCCACAGCCTCTGACTTGCACCCAGCAGGCAAAGAATAAAACGGAACACGAGGTGGCTGGTGCCAAAGACCATGAAAAGCCATTCAGTGTCACACACACTTAATAAACTGGGAAGGGCAGAAGGACAGGCACAAGCACTGCCACACAGTGATTTAACGTCAGAGAAACACGGTAATGTTGCACTGCAATATTTTTATTAAGGAATTTACATATACACAAAGAAAAGCAGACAATAGATGCCTGGCTTTCATGTATGCTGACAAAACTTTTCACATCTGCAGGGGAGATATTGCTCCCCTGCAAGTGGCGGAGAAAGAGAGAACAGTCAGGTGGCCCCAGTCCTGTGATTGGTACTCCGTCACTGAAACCTTCACGCTGGCAAGTATGTGCGTGTGCGTGGGGGGAGTACACAGATAAAAGTGCAAAAAAGTGCAAGGAGAAACTTGCCCCAGAATCTTGGCCCTTGATCAGTTAGGTCATTAAAATGTGAAAAGAAAGAAAAGGGTAGGGAGAAGAGAATAGGAGGGAGACTGGCTTAAATATGTCAAGACTGCAGGTTAGACAGGAGCCACAGCTGCACCTAAGAGGTGGAATCAGTGCTACCCCCCCCAACCTCCCCCCACTTGCAGAATACAATAATTTGTGCTTCAGGGCCTTGTGGGAATCCTACCAGCTTCAGGAAGAGATGCCTTAAGCTTATGAAAAACAGAAATAATTCTGGAAATCTACACAGAAAAAAAATGGAATGTCTCAGTTGAAAAGAAAAGGAAGGGTAAGGGAGAGAAAAGCAGAAAGAAAAGCCAGCTAACATCAAGTATTTCAGAATACTCTTTCCATCTTTTCAGTATTTTCTCTCTTGTTGCTTTATAAAAGTCACAAGTTCCTTCAGATGTTGCTGTGACTAAACCTGGGGAATCAAGAGTTAGCCCAGCTATTGCGGCTACCCCTTCCGAAGACCCAGGGCAAGCCTAGTTTGAAGCCGTGGCTGAGACCCAGCAGGAACCCCCACCCCCCCCACCCCCCAGAGGGCGCCCGTTTTAGTGAGCCAAGAGAACAAAGACTTCAGCTCCATCAGTGCCCCAGAGGCGGGAAAGCGGCGGAGCGGGTCTTTGTCACACACAAGGAAAGTCCGACCGAGACTGCCAGAAAGGAAGTTAGACCCTTGAGAGAATGTCGGGGAGCAATTTTTAATACAGGAACGAAAAACAAACGAGAGAACGGAAGCAAAAAAAGAGGAAATGGTCCAAATCCAGGCACACTATTTCCACACCTGGGAACCGAGTGTTTGGTGGGTTCCTTGCGCCCCGCCTCTGCCCATTGACTGTCCGTATCCCATCATTCCGTTTGTGCCATAGAAGTTCATCCCCGCCATCTGCTGTGTCATCTAATGAAGGAGAAGGCAAGAAAATGGTCAAAGGCCAACTGCCTGACACGACTGTGCAGGTTTTCCTGCTGTGCAGAGGGATGGGTCGCTTCCTGGCCCCCATCACACCTCTGGCGATCTCTCGCGTCACGTCTGCCAGCGGCTAGGCACCATAGCGGACGACTAGTGGTCATGCTGGCGCCTGGCCAGACACTTTGAGGTACCGTAATTTCGTCACTATTTGGGGAGAAAACATCTTATTTTCAGAAACGGTTGCCCATTCTGTGTCGGAAAGCGACATGGATTAAACCCAGCACAACTGATGGGATGATGAGATTTTCCACCAGCTGAAGAAGCCTGCACGGGCTTGGTGCTACTGCTCCGGATGCAGGGTAGCAGCTGCCCCTTTGCTTGCACCCTGTTGCAGCTTCCAAGAGACACAGCGTGCCTCGAGACGTGTGATGCTGAGCCTATGAAAAGCTTTCTCGCTAGGAAGCTGCCACCACCCTCTCACACCAGTTGCTTGGGAGCCACTCCTGGAGTGGGCCCTGATCCAGCCGTATCACCCATGTGGTGGTCACAGGAAACACGGGTCATAGCCTTACATGCAAAACTGACACGGAAATATCTAGTGAGTGATTCCCAAATCAGCTGATTTCCTTCGAGGAGGAAAGAAAGAGCGAGCTGCAAAAGCAGCGGATGAGGCAGCAGGGGATGTAGCTGCCAAACATTGTAGGAAAACAACATTAGGGGATGTCACACAGCCTGCCCCCATTCACTGCTTTTCGGGCAAAAACTGAACTTCCGGGTATTCTGCTCAATGGGGCTGCAGAGGGGGGCTGGGCAGCTACCTGAACCTTCCTTGGACATGAACCAGTTAAAAGGAAATATGTCTGCATATTGGCCAAACCTCTACCTAGGTGTCTTTTGGAAAAAAAGGAGAGTACCTTGTATTTCGGTTTTAATTGCACTTTACAGCCAGTTACAAGAACCTTGAAAGACTCCCCACCCCTCTTAAAAATTTTGCAATTCCCACTTCCGTGTGGCCCGTTTCTCTAAGACATCTTGAGGACCACACAAGATGTATGCTGAGATAACGGGTCAATTGCTGAGGCCCCCTGGATGTAGAAGTTCCCCATTGTGCTCTATTGGAGATGATCCTCAAGCCAACCTACAAGAGAGTCGGCTTGAAAACACAGGCGCTAATTTTACTGACACAAGCGCACATGGTGGCCTCGTGCCGCCTGGCTGAGTGATCAGCCCCGGGCTTCTCTGGATTATGAGAGAGCGCGACTCTATGCACTGTGCCCTCAGTGGCCCAAAGTTTCAGAATGCAGAGGTGACCCATCATCCAACACGGGGCTGGAGGAGCAGTGGGGAAAGCTGTCCTTCCCCTCCTCCACCCTGCAGATTCTTCTGCACAAGCCTCCAAGCCAGCCTAGCAAGGGGACTTGTGAAGGGGACGGAGGGCGGCTGGGACAGACTGAGGGCTACTCCTGCCAGGGCCCCTCCATCTCTGCTCTTCCCCCTCTTCCTCTGGGGTCATTTTTCTGACCTTGCAGGTCAGCCGGTGCAGTGCTTTCCATGATGGCTGCACGGGCTGCGAGGAAAGGTTTGGCCTTGCAGCTCCCTCTCCTGAGCTTGGAGCACTGCTTCTGGTCTGGAAAGGGGATTTGGAACAGCTCTAACATCCTTGGGATAGTAACACCATGAGGAACTGCACGATTTCTCCCTAAACCTATTGACTAAATGCTGGTGCCCTTCTAAGTCTCTTCTGTGCTTCCTCTGAATCACTGGAACCCTTCGGGAAAGGGGCATGCTGCCAATTTTAAATGCCCGCATTTTCTGTGAAAACAAAGTCTCTTTTGCAAAGGCTGCAAGGGAGTTTGCTCCACACCGAACGAGCGCCAAGTGTCCCTGCGGACGGGTGCCTGTGAAGTGGTCGCGACCCCCGCCCGCCCTGCCCTGCTCCCCCAGCTGGCCACCCCTTACCTGAGTGATGTTCCACTGCAGCTGCTGGGCTGGTTGCACCCCGTACATGGGCGGAGGGACGGGGGCCATTCCAGTCACAAACCCCGCCTGCTGCGCCGCCATCATGCCATTGGGCACCCCGATGACTGCTGTCCGCATGCCGCCGACGTAACCCGCGGGGATCGCCATGGGCGTCACCATGCCCGCTGCTCCCGGCTGCGCCATCACTCCGACTGGTGGCGCCATCACACCTCCCACCATGCCACTGGGGGGGGGCATGCCTGGGAAACTGGGGTACGCTGCAGGGTAGCCCATTTGGGCGGGGGCCATGAACACAGCTCCTAGAGGAGAGATTTTTAAAGCAGAGTGAGTGCTGGAACGGAGGCACAGACTTGGTCTTGGATATTTCATCTTCCCTGGTTCGATTCTGTCTTTCTGCTCCACACATCCCAGAAGGCAGTTTTTACGACTAGCTATTCAAACCAACTCTCCATTACAAAGAATACGCCCATCAAGCAAGGGTGAGAATGTGATGAGGAAGGAAAGGAATTCCTTATTCTTGCTGCCTATAAGCTGAGGGACCAATACCAAAAGGCCCTACTCCTGGTGCAAGGAAGGTGCTCCACGCATGCCCTCTCTGAAATGCTTTGTCTCTTGGGAGGAAGAGAAAGGGGGGTCGCCTCCAGTGCCCCTCAAGCCATCTCAGCTTCACCAGTGATCACAGAAACCCGCAGCAGAATGCCATCTACACCACCCTCCATCCAACCAGTTCACTTCCCTCTGAGTCCCAGCACCACTTTGCATACAGAACATGGACACAGACTCTTCCAGCAAAACAATTAAGAAATACGCACATATAAAAATCCTTAACTATGCAATTTAAACATCATATTGACGACCTACTAACTTGGAACATCCAGACAATTTCCCAAGGTTAGAGGCTGGTCCAAGCAGCGCAACTTCATGTTAAAAGCTTCTTTCAGCCAGAAAGCAAGTTAGATTCTTACATATTATCTACTGTGTAACACATTTCCAGGGGCTTCTCTATCTCAGAGGTTGGGGACAGAGGGGCAAAAGGAGCAACAGATGCCAGGGACCACTGGCCCTTTCCCGAGCCCTTCCCCAGCCACTGAGCACCTTGTGTGGGCATTTGTGGGGTCTGAGAGCCATACAAGGAGAGGATAGAATCCTTTGAGAGTTGCTTCTTTGCCACCTCTTCGCCTTTGCTTCCAGGCTCGGGGAAGAGGTTCAGGTTTTCGGGAACAGACCCAGCGCTTCCAGTAGTGGGCATTGAGCCAACAACCTGGTGAGAGAATACATCATGTTTAGCCCTGAAAGTGATGCGGGTGAGGAATCAGTTTATTCAACACTGTTCTTAAATGCTTGAAAGTATTCCACCTACAGAACTGTGACGCTCCCTCTTCTTCCCCTTCCCTCTCTCTGCCTAGAAGGCACTCAAGGCACAAACTGACTTGGAATCCTTCCACCACCCCACTGCCATGGGGAGCCATGGCCAAAACGCATGGCTTTGCTGAGGACCAAACACTGAGTTTTCAAATAGGTCATGTCAGCACGGACTACCCGCCACGTGAGAGAGGCAGTTCCATGATGGGTGGCAGCCTTAGGGTCCTTGTCATCGCAGGACTTTCAGATGGCAATGCATGCCTTATGCGACTGCAATTTCTATCAGGATATTGCCTTTATTATCTAAATTACCTGGTATAGATAAAGGGTTTTATGTATCATACTGTTTAGCAGCCATCATACTGCAGCAACTGAAGAGGATGCAAAACTATTTAAAATCAAATCAAATTAAATTACATAAGCCCATCCTTTTCTGCATGTCTATGACTGCAACTCTTCTCACCTTCCTGTCGGGGCCCACGGAGCCAAAGAGGTCCAAGTCCTTCTCCAGGCAGGCACTGGATCTGCCATTGGGGAGGGCAGATGAGACAGGTACATCTGGAAGAGACGGGGGGATGATGCTTTGGCAGCAGCCGACTGACACTAAAGAGTCACTCCTAAATTCCAGTGGAAATCAGCTGCAGGGCAAACTCTGGACAGCAGCAAAGTCTCTGGCTGAACTGTCTCCTGAGGGCCTTTTGGCCCCCTGCAACATACAGAGTCATCCACTCTGTTCTTAAGAATCCAGATTTCTGCGCCAAAACAGCTCCGCTCCTTCAGGCTGCATGAGCATCGGGAGGGGTGCTGTTCCTTTGTGCCATGCTGCCTGTGGCCACTGTGGAGAGGGCACGGAGCCAGGGCTGATGCCTCACCAGCTCAGCTCCCTGATCTCTTCTTTAGCCACCCTCCAGCTTCTGGCATTTCACCCGGCACCAGTCATGCTAACCTGGCAATTCAGCAACCGTCACCGCAAACTGTAGAAACTGTTAAACTTCTACATGAAGGCAAGATTGCTAAGAAATTGAATGTTGCAGCTGACATCATGCTCTGAGCAGGACTGCGGTGCACACACAGGCAACCTCAGGCCTGGCAGAAGACCTGCTGGAAGCTCCCGGGCTGAGCTCCCGGGCACAGCCTCCTTCCCTCTGTGAGTAAGGCCAGCCATGATTCACAGCTTCAGCCTGGAAATGGCCTAAGGGTTTTCCTGCAGGAGGCACTGCGGACTCATGTGCTCTCGCTCCGGCTGCTGCCGTCCTTTTCACGACGCTGCCATCCTCTGGGACTGACTCGCCTATGTTTTCGAGCATTTCCAGAGCAAGGAAAGTGCCGCATTGTTACCCATAACATGTGGCAGCACTAGAAAATGGCTGTGAGTTTTTTGCAGTTGTGCTCTACTGCAGCACCAGCTTGTGTCTGTTTAATAAAACATACAGGGAGGCAGATGAATTAAAACGGGGGGAAGGGGGAGACATGCAAAGGGGACACGCAGTGAAAACAGAAGGGGTCTCTGTAAAGCTGCAGGATGGATGCTTCCAGCAGAAAAGCCCTGAACGAGAAAGTACCTGGCCCCTTGGCCCTGCTTCTGCCCCACACTGGCCACCCCACTGAGCCAACCCCTAGTGGCTCCCACGGGACGCCACTTGGGCCGACAACGATATCAAAATCCGTCTGCACTTGGCATTTTGCTGATCCTGCAGACTGTGCCCTCTGCTGCAGTGCTAGGCTGCAGTAAAGCAAGTGCTTGGAGGATCTGAAGGATTCGCTCCTGCCTTCCTGCTTGGGAGCATCTCTCCAGCAGCTCCCCTGCGAGGGCAAAGCAGTGTTGCAAATCCAGGAAAGGGTGTGGGGGAGGAGGGATACCGCAGGAAGAGGCTGCATTTCCAAGAGAAGCTGCAGCTGCTTCCTTAACCTCACTAAGGAACTGATGCAGCAAGATGAACCACCACAGTTCAGACAGCAAGAAATTCAAGCATGACTTGCAGTTTTACTTTGCTGTTCTGTAAATAGGATAAACATTGAAACACACGAACGGGGAGGGCTCTAAATGGCAGCAGCAGACAGAACCGTGTGAGCTGAAGGGAACAAAGTAGATTTGCGACCAATTTCCATCCTCAAGGCTGCTCTACACCAAACAGAGCAACTGTCCATCTGCCTTGCAATACGGCGGAATACCCAGGCTGGCCAAAGCTTGCAGACAACAGGCAGAAGGAGGTATTCTGCTGGAGACCCTTCCTCTCTGCAAGGGAGGGGGACTTTTCAGCTGGTTTGCTAATGGATCCTGGTGGTCTCCAGGGGGCTCTGGGGGAATTTCCAGATGGTATGGCCGGAGCTTCTTTCCATTTGGGATTGTTGCCTGACATCCAGTGGAACTGGCTGCAGAAAAACCTTCTGAAGAAGTTCTGAAGGCAATGGGTCTTCCCTACCAGTACAGAGGTGGCAGCTGGATCCCTAGGTCTACAGGTGTCCAGGCTTGGGGAAGTCTTTCCAAAGTGACCTGGCTCATGGAGAAATCCCTACCTGCCTGCCTGCCTGCCTGCCTGCCTGCCTGTCAGGGAAGTCCAGAGCATTACAAACGGTTCTGGCTCCCACGGAGAAATGCTGCTAGCTTTCTGGTCCACATACATAAGCTGGAGAGGATGGTCCCACCATACCCCCCTTTCACACGGCAGGAAAAGGGTGCCGGCTTCAGGGACAAGCCATTTTGCATGAGCCGCTTGCCTGCCATTACTGTTCTCCTCACGGAGGAACTGACTTGGAAGAGAAGCTGCAGGCAGGCAGTGCAGCCACACAGGGCTTCCTTTGGTTCCTTTTCCAGTGGGGTGAGTTGTTTTTCCAACACTAATGGACGGAGAAGCCCTCTGCTATTTCCCATTCATTCACGACCTGCAGTGCTGTATGCAGTGCGCACAGGAGTATTTGGGCAGAAAGTTCTTTGAAATACGTGCTTACCGAGTCCCAGCAAGTCCATGACAGGCTCAGAAGATCGAGTCGGGCTTTTTCGAGCTTGAGAATCATCTTTTTTCTGGGGCTGATGGAGCAAAAGCCACAAAAATCAAAGACAAGTCTTAAAGTTGCTGTGATGCATCAACTGAAATAACAGCGTTCCCGACTTCTTACCAGTAGGGAACGTCTTTCATTCCAACTGGTCTGTTACGAAATACCCATGCACATGTAAAGGCTATGGTTCGGCGCTCACTAAGAACTGCTGAGCCCTGCCGTTTCCCCAAAATGAACTGCTTAAGATTTGTAAGTTGTGCTGTACAGAATTCTCGGACAACACAGACCTCCCTAGCTTTTTAGTCTGGTGGGCATGTTCGGAATTGAGAGTTCACACAAAATGACAGCCATACAAGCAGTGTGTGTGTGTGTTTCATTCATAAAATAGCTGTCCCAGTTGACAGGGTGGGCAGCGTGCTTCTTCCCAACAGGCAAACTGGTGAGTCTGACACAAAAGTTGCCCAAGAACCTAAGTGAGAGGCAGAATGGGGTTTGAGCTGCAAAACAATAAGCCATCCTTTTGGAACTAAAGGTAGTCCAAATCGCTGAATCTTAATGAAATAAAAATTGTGAGAGGCAGGGAAGCTGGTGGTGCCAAGAGTGGTGACCATGGGCACCACAGACAATCCAGTGCTCCCATGCAGTAACAAAAACTCATAGCACAATGAAAAGCAACACACTTGCAAAGAGGACATGGATAAAATCTGAATGGAGGTGTGTGGTCTTCTCTCCCTGTGATGTTTTCATTGTTTATGAATACCTGCACATCCCACTTTTTCCCTCTTGCAAAGAATCCAAGGAGGCAAACTTGCTTTTCTCCTGAGTGTCCCAGTTCCAACACTGTTTCCTAGCTTCAGGTGCTCCTGCGCTGGCCAGGGCAACATACTGCGCTGTTCTGCTCTGACACATACAAGGAAGAGCTGATGCAGCCCTAGCCAGGGAGGGGGGCACAGCAAGTCTAAGGGAGTTGCCCCAGGCAAGCCTGGGGGGGACTGGCAGTTCTGACATACTCAAATCCACACAGACCCCAAGTGCCCTTTCGACACGCACTGGCAGGCAGCCATTTGGCCAGCGCACTGAGGAAATGGGCTTCACTGAACTGAATTAAAGACCAACCTATGGAACCAAAGTGGAAGATCTGGCCCAATTATTCTTTAGCCAACTGCTCTGTAGGGGAAGGAATCCAGAAGCAGGAGGAGGAGGCAGGCGACCCCAGGAGCCCTATTGTGCGCCTGCTGGACTGGCTTTTAAAAATTTTATTACATTTGAAAAAGAATACATATGAAAGCACAATAAAGCACAGACATATTAAAACACAATCCCTCTCCAATCCATCAGTGTTAATTTGTCCTATTCCATTGCTTTTTCTCTTTTCATAAGCCCCAGTGTTTCCTATGAGCTTCTTCCAAAATTATTCTATTATTCGTTCTTCACATTATACATATTTTTGCCAACACCTGCCTAGAAGTATCTTTTTTCTTTATTCTTTTGTACATTCTTAACTTTTGTGTCAGTTTTTCATTACTTTACCCCTACATATTGCCAGCATCTGAGCTGTCATCCAGTTACTTGTTATTAATTGCCCTGTGGGTATCAATAACAACAAAATGGGAATACATGCCTCAACAGAACAGGAAAAGAAAAAAAACCCTCAGAATAATTGTGGACAACAGGCTATGAGCCAGCAATGTGATGCAGCCACCAAAACAGCAAATGCTATTCTGGGATGCATTAACAGAAGTATTACTTCCAAATCACAAAAAAGTAGTCGTTCCTTTATACTCCTCACTAGTCAGACTCCATCTGGAACCATGTGTCCAGTTCTGGGCACCAAGATTTGAGAAAGATGCCATAAAATTAGAAAGGGTCCAGAGCAGGGCAACAAAAACAATCCAGGGTTTGGAAACACTGCCCTGTGAGGGGAGACCGAGAGAACTGGGCATGTACAGCCTTGAGCAAAGAAGACCGAGGGGAGACATGATATCCCTCTATAAGTACCTCAAAGGCTGTCCCAAAGAGAAAGATTATATCTTATCTCGCTAATACCAGAGTATAAGAAATGGAATGATCAATTCAAGCTGCCACAACCCAGATTCAGGCTATATATCAAGAAAGGCTTCCTCACAGTCAGAGCAATACAGCAGTGGAAGCAGCTGCCTAGAGAGGTGGTGGGCTCTTTCACACCAGAGACATTCAGAAAGACACTGGACAGCCATCGGAGTTGGGTGGTGTAACTTGGTGTCCTGCAACAGCAGGGGGGTGGACCCAATGACTTTCATGGCCCCTTCCAATTCTACTATTCTACGATTCTATGTCTTTTAAACGCCTCTTCTTTTGCCAGCTCTGGTGTTTTAAATCTCTCTTCCTTGGTTATTTTTTTTTCTATTTCTTTAAATATCTTGTACCAAAACTTACCTTCCTACAATCTGACCACATATACATTTGCATCCTATTGATTTCACATCTTTTTCAACATGGAGGTGACAACTGCCTTGTGTTTGCCAGTTTTGTCAGGGTCAAGCACCACTTCTGCAGAAATTTGAATGCCCTCCCTCCCTTAGTTGTTTTTGTTTGGAAGGAAACTGTCAAAAATTTGCCTCCATTCTCCTTTCTTTGTCACCTCTTAGGTAACTCTATCCCATCTCTGCTTTTAGTAACATGCCCCTTATCTCTTGTTTTATCAGAATTTTATGCATCTTGGATATTATACTTTTCTCTCCTAATTTCTATACATCTCATTTTGAATATGTAGCTTTCCTAATATGCTTACACCGGGTGGGTAGCAAAAGCACCCCAGTGGCAAACATCTATACATTTCTGCTACATGTTTTGATTTGCAGAAGAAGGTGGCTGAAATGGTGGATGCAGGTGCAAATTTCCTCGGAGGACTAGACTGCAGGTGTGCTCATGTGTAAATTACAGAACAGAATGCAAGCCTAGGGAAGAAAAGCCCCAAAGACACTTGGTGCATCTTTGTGATTAACTCATGTTCCAAAAGTTGCTCTAAAGGTTGCAGTTGGAAGGTCACGTGCAGACTTATTCAGTAAGTGCATGCCGTACTGTACATAAAGCGGGGTTTTCTCAGGGCCCAACTAAGCAAACGAATGAGTGCATGCAGTTCAGATCAGGCCAGGACCCCGATGCAACTCCACGGCTGACACCCACCTAGCTGAAGCTTAGAAGAACCGCAAAGCACACCGGCATGGCTCATCTTACCATTTTTACTTTCTCAAAAATAATTGGTTCCAGTTTCTTTTCGCAGGCTGCCTCCTTTTTCCACTTGTCGTCTTTTTCTCTCTGTACGTACATAAAATTAAGTGGTGAGAAGGGAAGGAAACCAGCTAAAGGCTTCATTTCCCTCCCCAGGCCAGTTCCTTAGAAATCCCCATGACAGAAGCAATGGGTTGCTGGTTCCCAAGCTCTTTAACTCAGACCTTTAACTCAGAAAGAGGTGCGTTCAGAAAGTAATGAGCATGAAGTTTCCACACTCAAGAAGGGTTTCGCAAAGGGGAGAAGCTGGCCAAGGGCCCTTGGGGTGGGGTGCCAGGCGTACATTAGAACACTGATCAGTTGCATTCCAGCCCTGCCAGAGTCGAGACGTTCTCTTTCGTGACACCCTGGTCAGGTGCCTCGTATTAAGAATAATGCAAGTGAGTCTGGAACAGCGGCATGCGATAAAATCGTGTGAAATTGGTAAAAGTGCACCAGAAACGTTGGAGATGGTGAGGGAAGCTTATGGAGAAGCTGCACTGTCATCTGCACAAGTGTACAGATGGCACGAGTTGAGATCAGCTCAGCTTGGATCCTTCATCACGACAACACACCAAGTCAGAGTGCTTTGGCTGTCAAAGAGTTTTTGGCTGAAAAACACATCACGGTGCTTCCCCATCCACCGTACAGCCCCAACTTGGCTCCTTGCGACTTTTTCATCTTCCCAAAGATGAAGAATGGTTTGAAAGGACACCCATTTTGGCAGCGTGGATAACGTCCAAAGACGCAGGCTCTGAATGCCATCCCACTTGAAGACTTCCAGGAATGGAAAAATCACTGGGAGCATTGTGTACACTCACAAGGTGCATACTTTGAAGGAGACAATGTTCAATTGTAAAAAAAATTGAGTAACAAATTAAAAATATGATTCTCATTACTTTCTGGACACACCTCATAGACTCCCTGAGCATATGCTGTCCAACTCCACGAGAGGTCGTTGAGGCCCCATCGATGCGGGTGTTCAAGGACAGGCTGGATAGGCTAGACATCCACATGGAGGGCATGTCGTGAGCGGAGCCGGCTGGTGCCGGAGGTCAGACTGGATGGCCCGGGAGGTCCCTTTTGGCTCGCTCTGTTTCTATGTTTCTAACTCCCAGAGAACTGTGTGCATGGAGGCTACCACACCTGGCTACCTACCGAGTAAATGCAAACACTTCAGGCTATAGTTGGTTCCTTCATAGGCCCAGCATACTTGCCAAGAAAGCAGCCTCTGGCAAAGAGACAATCTCAGCTGAAATGCTGCTGCTGCAGATGTGCCTTTGTGAGTGTGGGGATGGAATTCTAGTCCTTTCTGCTGCAGAAGGCCAATCCTGCAGGCGGAAATGTTTCCCGAAGCCCAGTCCAGGCATGGTTTGTTCTATATTAGGGAATTAGTCCGAATGGCAGTGCCGTGATTTGGAGGAAGGCCTGCTGCTCGTGCGAGCTCAGATGAGAGCCTGGGCTTTTCAGCAGAGCTGGAAAAGCATCTTTATGCCTCAGACTGGACTTCTCCAGCCTGGTGCCCCCATGTCAGCTATGCCCTTGGCAAGTGCCCCCAATCATAAAAGAGGACTGGCCACAGATGGTGAGGCATTCTTGCAGTTGCAGTCCAAACAACTTGGAGGAAACCCAGGTGGGGAAGGCCACCTGGAAGAGTTGCTACTCGTTAGAACTGATTTATTTATTTATTAAATGTCTATACCGCAACCTATCGTCCAATTTAGAATGGCCAGCATGGCCTAGCTGGACACGACATGTTCATGAAACAGCAAAAGTTTCAGACCAACCCGCAACAAGTTGATGTCCAGGCTCCTGTCCATGTACTTCTTCTTTTCATATTTGTCTCTTATAAAGCCCTCCACCGCTCTGCACAAGAACAGGTTAAGGAGGAAGAAACCGCAGGTGTGAACAGCTTGTGTACGACGACGGCCAACCGTGGCAGCGAGTCACAGCCCAAGCAGTAAATGGCCCACAGCCACAAGGACAAGCACAATATGGACCAGGATCTTGGACTGAGTAACTGCAGCGGAGTTGGCCAGGCAAGTCCAAGGAAGGAGGTGACCGTGCCATTCTAATGTGGGCTGCAGTACTTATGGAGCCCCTGCCAAGAGCAGCGTGACGGCTTTGTCTCCAATCTAGCTAGCCAGGCTGTTAAGCACATGGAACTCGGGCCTATGCCAGCGGCTGGGAACATCTGGCTGCCCCGACACCAGGCAGCAACTCGTATCAGCCCCAGCCACAGCAGTCAATGGAGGAGGCTGGAGGAAACTGCCCCCCAGGCACATCTCCAAGGCTCCACCTTTTCTGTCCCGGCCCATGCCACGGTCAGGCCCACCCAGAGTGCCAGGGCTGGCTGGCTCAGAGATAAGGCGCTCCTGCTAGCATCACTTGCGCTGCGCGTGCTAGTCAGTCCTGCATGCTACAGGCGAACAGAAATGGCCTCTAAAAAGTAGAAAAGAGAGACAGCTCTGAGTCCGGGCATAACAGTCTTACACGTGGGTGGGGGGCAGGGGAGCTCGTTAGCTGGGCATGCGAGGTACCCCTCCTCAAAATGCGATACGTCAGCCTTACGCGTTTGGGCTCCCTCCTGCTGCGTAGGGCCCAGAATGCCTGCTTTAAAGTCCTGCCCTGGCAGCAAATGAAGTGACACTGCTTGATGCAGGGAGGAGGCTGAGGTGAAAGTCTGGATGAGTGACTAGCACTAAATCACCACCACCACCACCACCACCAGCGATCCCCCTCTGTGGCTGGAACAGAGGCACAGAAATGAGCGTGTTCTTCTACTGGCGCACGCTCCAAATGCCTGACTTACGATGGGATAAAAGCGGCATCCAATGCACCCCACTGCACAGCACCCGACCACGGCTGTCTGCTTTCTTTGCTGTCAGCGGCAATACCGCCACTCGTTTTATTTTTGAGGCCTTGTTTTCCAAATCAAAAAACCCTGGCATTGATTCTGGAGGGGCTGTGCTCTCCCCACTGATCCCTCTGAGGGCAGAAATGAGCAGGAAGCCCTCCCTGCAGCGAAGACTTAGCATCAGCATCAAAACCTTCCCTGGTCTCTTGGGGAAGCAAGGCAGAGGAAGGATACTGGTCCGTCTGAGGTCTCCTGAAGTTCTCTGGAAGGTAAGCTTCATAGAGGCGATTCGCTTTGCCATTTCCCATCTCCTGCATGCACTGGAATTGAGTAAATGGGATCAGATCACATGTTTAGGTCATTTCTTGCCATCGTTTCATTTTGGCTTGCTTAACCTCAGAACATAAGAGATTTTTAAAAAATATGTCTGGACTGGAAGAACAAAACAAAGCTTGCTCGGTGTGGAGGAGGAAGAAGAGGTGTTGGGAAAGAAATCTGCATCTCAAAAACTGCAAAGAAATCCAGAGAAATGCGTGAACACCCATATGCACAGTGGACGGGAGTGATGACTTAGCAATAAATGTGTGTCCTCGGTTTCTGGCAGATCAGCATAAAATTCAGCATTTGTAACTACTAGCAGAAGCAATACCCTGCTGCTTCTGTCCTCCCAGCAAAGGACACCACGTTTTATAAAATGACAGATTTATTGTAACAATTCTCTCCCTCTGAAGTAAAGGTCTCATTATTCTAACAGTGCCTGCATCTTGCCCCAAAATATTACTCCTGTCTTGTTCTCATGACTGCCTGTTCCAGATTCCCGCAGCTGGGCTCTGCAAGCTTTTCAATGGCCTAGCTTCTATTAATCAAGACAAGCCACAGAGAACACTGACAGGAACACACTTAGTTTCAGCTGTTCCCAGATGGAAGTTCATTCCCCTCCAGTCAAGAATGAGCAACAGAAGCCCCACTGCATCCTGACGGAGCAGCACCAATGGCTTCCTTCAGTACAGGCAATTTGCTTGGGAACAAAGGCCACCTTTTTTGCTTTTCAGAGGATGTGCAAGCTGCCACACCTGGGTTCTGCAGCATGCATGCCCTGCTCTTCTGAACAAGCTCACTGATCTGGGGAACAGCAATAAGGGGCAGGGGCAGAGAATGTTTCTAGAAGCCGCACATTCACCCCACATGATCTTATTCAGCTGCCTTGGCTTTCGTTGATGCATGCTTCTCCAGGCCTGCACCAACCTGCATGCTTCTCCAGGCCTGCACCAACAGAATAAGACTTGCAGGACCGAGGGAACACCGTCCCCAAGGAAAAAAGGTGCTGCACATTAACTGCGTGACAACAGTGAGAAGTAGGGACAGCCTTTATTTTTAATTTGGAAATCAGGTGGGATTTGCAGGCCAAGATAAAGGCTAGATCAATACAGTGGCTACAGTACTTCCGACAGTCCGAGTCTGCAGGTGGAAAAGGAAACCATGCGGCCTGTTGTGCAAGTGCACGTGAGGAGAAAGGTGAGCTGGAACCCTTCACTCCAGCACACACATCTTCTAAGCGCAGGGACTTGGGGTAGCCCAGAGGATTCGGCCAGACTTGACACCACTTTACTTCAACTTCTGTTTAAAGAGCTCAAGACTCCCTTTTGATGCAGGTGGAAGAACAGGACTACAGAGGAGAAGATGAAGGACTCCTTGCCCACCCTCACCCCCCGTCCCAGGAAAAACACCAGGCGAGGCTTTCGTCCAAGTGGCAGTCAAGGACACCCCCTCCTGCAACTAACCTGGATCTGCTCTTGTGTCCACTGGTCCAGGTTGACCGATTTTACTCGGGAGATGTGCACACCCAGATTTCTGTGTATTCCAGCACAGCGAATGCAGATAAACACACCGATATTCCATGACGCCCATCTTGGCCCTGTGGAAGTACAGAGGAAGTGGTCACGCGCACACTTTGAGCACCAGGGCAGCCATCTGGAAGGACCTCTGCCTTGAGCGGGCGTTTCTGAAGCATTCGCATTTACAGTGCAGAGCAGCTTTGACACATGTATTACCATGCTGGTAGACAGAGGATTGGGAAACAATCTACCCATGCTTTGGCTCTTAAACAGGTACAAAACTGGAAGGGGCAGGGAAAGAACAGGTAAGCAGGCAGGAAGAGGCAGTTCCTTTCTCCTTCTCTTCCTTCTACAGGCTTCGGCTGTGTCCACCAGCGGCCCTCCCTCCACACCACCTCTATTGACAAATCCATGATAGAGCCATGATGTTTAGAGTGGCTGTTTAGGAGAAACATCACTTTTTCAGTAAAGCGAAGACTAGAACATTTATCTGTGCTCGAAGAACTCTTGCAAATATGCACAATCACCAGGTAAAAATATTTGTACCAACCACATCTGGTTGCTCCCTTTTGCATTTAGGCTTCATCAACACATGCACACCTCTCCAGACTGCAGGTGGGGAATGTTGCCCCCACACAGCCGGAAGTCTTGCTCCAAGTCTGGTGTTTTGGGGGCAGAAGGAAAGAAAGAGGTCCCTTTCATTCATTGAAAAGCCAGCCACGACTCTTCCCCACGCAGGCCAGCAAGGAACAGCACTGCAGAGCAGCAGAAAAATTACTACCCAAGGCCACAAGGTGCCGTTCACTTTGCTCGCACGCCCTTGAAACAGAACGATCAGTGGCCTTGAATAGTGCCAGCAGTGTGAGATGGAATCTGCTTGCCACCTACGCTGCTCTGCACCGTCAGGCCCATAATGCCTTGGAAATCACAAGTCCAGTTGGAGAGCCAGGATCATCGAGTTTAGAGCAGCCTTGTCCAAGTTTCACAAAGGGCAGCCTGCCAAGACGGCATGGCTAAATTCAAGGAGGCTTGTTAAGTGACCTAGGGTGACTGGCAAGGGGAGAAATCCCTCCCCCAATCCCAATATAGGCAACTGTCAGCACCCCCCAGGTCTCCCCAAATTGCATGATTCTCCTCCATGAGACACTTGTCCGACAGCCCCGCAGCTTCCACAAAGCGCTCGAACCTTAGTGCAAACTTCTCATGGTTTGCCAAGACTCACTCGTTGGCAGGGTCAGATTCACCGCAAAGGCTCCCATTCAGTGCCCAGACAGAATGATTTTCAGTTCCTGAAATGAGGCAGCCCCACCAACCTGCTCCATCTGACCTGGCTTTTAATGGGGCACACACACCTGCTACCTGGTGAGAGCTCTGGCAGACACTCTGCAGGTGCACTAGGTTTAGAGTTTGCCTCTGCCGTATGCACAACATGGAGTCTTCAGCAGACACACTGTCAGCCTCACCTCACCCCACACCTGCTATGTGGGGGAGAATACTAACTGACCTACTTTGTAGGGTCGCCCTCAAGAACACAAGGTCATATTTGAAGTATTCCTAAGAAACATATTTGGATCAATAAGTTTGTCTCCAGCACTTGTTGAATTTCTGCTTTTTGGAATGTTCTGAACACCCAAGCCTGCCTTTCAAGGAAACAGAATATAAGTGCCCCAAGGCAAAAGCCTAAATCGCTCCCTGCCCCATAAAATCTCACACAACCCTTGACAAGCCAGAGAAACCATGGTCTGAACAAGGAAAAAAGAAGCCATGCACCAATATATTTGAATCTACTTTTGGCCCTGCTGGTTTATCAGGAATCATTTAGGGTTAGACCTAAAGCCCATTATATTTAGCAGTTACATGGTTGAAAGAGATTAACAAGCCAGATATAGCGCTAATGGAATACTTCCGTGCCTGCCCATATGAGGTTCATACGCTGCTTTAGTCTTCAGGTGTGAGCTGCAGGTGCTGGACCTTGATGGGAAGCACTACCCCATCACACAGTGAGGTTCAGGCTGGAGAAGTTTTTCAGGCTGGCTGACCACATTTGGCTTTCATTCCCACCTCTGTTTTACAGAGCATGTGAACTCAGAACTCACACAGCATCCTGATTGTGTGTGTTACTATTCTATTTCCTAACCTTGAGTGCTGATAGCAAGTTTGGGTGCTGGGCAGCAGGACCAAGTCTAAGTCACTGAAAGAACCTCAGCATGGATTCTCGCCCACGACCCTCTGGGCTCTGTTTTACATACGTTCTTCGACCCACCTTGGTATCTCATTAAGGCCTCCATTTGAAACGAGGATCGTGGGTGAAGAAAGCAGTGGCCAAATGATATATAGGGCCGTTTCTTCTTATTCAAACAACAACAAATCTGAAAAGCACCTAGGAGGCAGATGCAAGTTTCACTGGGGGAACAGGGCAGGGGGAGAGAAACACGTGGCTTGACACCTTTTCCTCCTGCTCCCCAAATCACCCCACAAGCTGTTTTCACCAAGATAGCCATGTGGTGTATTCTCCCTTGTGGGTGGAAAGCAACAGGTGATCCATCGCCGAATGAAAAATTCTGAAAGGTATGCATGTTGGGAGGAAACCCATTCTAAGCCAAACTGGAGAATACCAGCTGATTTGTCACAAGACTGAGGTGTGAATTCAGCCATTTAAATCTAATTTCATCCATGAAACTGCTAGGAGGGGAGCACGGCAAAGACCCTTAGCTCTTCATATCTCTGGTATGGACAGCTGGACTGCTTTACAAGGTTGCTGCACACATGATGAAGATAATGGGAAAGGGTGTGAACATCTGCAGGGGGAAATACGGTAGAAATGCTAAATGTCTCAGCCCTGTGTGCTAAAGCATTCTCACCCCTCCATCAACTACTGATCCAACAGAAGCAGCAAGGAGGATCCCAAAGGTGAGAACAGTCTCCCGCACCATTTCCTGTATAAAGTGAAGCACAATGCATGCATGCCAGCTTCAGTGGAGGGGACGGCCATATAAATAACACATCTGTGACTGGCTAAACACAAACAGCCACCTGCCAGCTCCACCACAAACACAATGCAAACTTTCACAAAAGCCGTAGCACCTGTACTGCAAGTGTTTCACAATGATGAGCAGCGCTAAAATGCAGGTACAAGGGACCCATCCATGGGCAGGGGAGAAACTGGGAAGGATTCATGGTACAATAGACATTCTTTGTAGGTTCTAAAAATGCTGCCTGTTAGAATGCAGATGCAACAAAGCTAAGAGGCGGTAAAGCAAGGACCGCAGGAAACCCACAGCCCCCTGATCTGCCCCAAGGGCAGAAGAGTGGCTCAGGTGGGTAGAAATACACCAAGAATGAACCACAGAGCAGGTGCTGAGGGAGGCCCTGGGATCCGTCGCAGAATTAAGCCCACACAGCCTTTCACGCAGAATGCCACTCCTGGTCAACCCTCTCCACCACACGATTTTTCAGCAATTTAAGGCCGTAGGGGTTGGGAGTCAGGGAGGGCGAGAGAGAACGGTTTTGCTGTTGCTCTTGTTAGACCCCTGGGAATCAGAAATCCTTGCCATTCTCCTTTTTGCAGATTGCCCAGACTCTCCTAACAGATGCTGGTCTTCTTTCTGCTGCCCAGGAAAAGCCAACAGCAGACTTTAGTTATTGGCCACCATAAGCCAAGACTTTGGTGGGTCTTCCAGGGCCACTCCCTTGATTTGTAGCCATTTTTGCAGCTTCCCCCTCTGCACTCTTTTTTAGAGCATGGGCAATGAGATATTAAATATTAACATACGGCAAAAAAAGTTGTGTAATTGAGCAGTTGCACTATAATGCAACACCACCTGTACTTGTATAATGCAACATATAGGAAGACAGAAGGTAAAACCTCTAGAAAAAGCAACGTGTAGCTGACGCTTTTCCTGCCCTCCCACAAAGAGAAAAGCAGCAGCAGCCTCTGCAAGCCTGAGCTATAGACCTCAGCTAGGGAAGGCCAAAGTAAAGCGTACTTTATTCGCTGGATCAGTCTCCAGAGATGCTCTCAAATGGCTTCTATTGCATGGGAACAAAACCATTACAGAAGATGGAATAACTTCACAACTTAGCACTAGGAGACTTCTATCTGGAAACACACTAGGACTTTCCAGCAACACCAAAGTAATGCTTATGGGGAAGTTCCCATTGTTCTCAGAAGACTGCTTTTACAACAACAAAAACCCTTTGGGTTTCACTGCTAAAGGAGAAGTAAATAAAGGTCAGCTCCCTTATGCGAAGTTTCTGTGCTCTGCAGAGTCACAAGGGTCTAAAAACAAAACAAGAATTAGGAAGTTATTAACACACTTCTCTAAAAAGACAAGGGAGAAAGATTTTGAGAGTAAATTTCCGCTTCAAAACCTCTAACACCATCAGTAAGAAAGCTCTACAGTCAGAAATTTCAGTTCTGCTGCTCCCCAGTGCCCGCCACATGGGTAGTCTGGCCTAGCTTTACAGCAAGGGGTGCTGCCGAGGGGGCCTGCCGAGGGAAAGACAGCAGAGCTATTAACTGCACCAGAACAGCATTCTTACTGGGAGCAGAGAGGAACTAACTCTGAGCAACCCTGCCTCCAAAATGGCAGTTTCCCTCAACCTCAACCGCAAGTGATGGCACAGATGGGCATTTTGCACACAACCCTGAAATAATGGATGGTTAAGTAAACATCCTTTTGTTAAGCATATGCATTGAATCCTCCAAGATGGGGGGGGGGGGGTTAAGAGCCCAGAGAGCTCTTAAGCTTGTTTAAAGTTATCAGCTTTCATTATAACTTGTAAGGGACATTTTTAAAAAGCTCAGTGCTGGGCAGGAAATGTAAGCATTGCATTGGTTGCAGACTAGGCAAAGCAGAAACGGACTCACACCACAGATGCTTAGGGGGCAGGTTAGGTCCAGCTTCTTGATGCCAACAGGTCTGCTGAGGAAACACAGCAAGTGCGAAGAACGCTTTTTTTGAAGCACGTGCACTGGTGTGAGTTACTATCACAATGACTGCACCCACCCAACGTGACAAGCAACCCATGGGGTGGGGTGGGGGAGGAACCCACGGTGGTTTGTAAAATTAACCAAAGG